TATTGCTACTACTATTTAATGGTCCTTCTCAAAGCCTAGTTTCTCTATTTTATAGTAATTATTCTTAGAAAAATCAATGGTTTTCCTACCAGTGTCTGAGGAAAAGGATCAGATCTAAGAGTTAAGAGTTTGTGAATTCACAGTTTTCTTACAAATTCAGGTGTTCTGGCACTCGAGCGCCCACATCCTAGGGGCAGCAGCTGAACAATTCTTGGGTGCTGTTCTCTGCCGAGGTCCGAGTACAGAGCGTGGCTTTTACCATGATTTCTTCCTGGAAAAGGAGCGGTGAGTAGCGTGTCAAGAAATAAGGAGAATTTATTCTGGGACAGCTTCTGAGGAGAAGGTTCTCTAGGCATCTCTGTGACACTGGTACAAGCTCTCTATGAGGTCATGTCCCTCTTCTAACTCTGCTTAAAATTCACCTTTAGTTTTCATAAATTTTCAGATCTTACTTCATCCATTCATTACTCTTGTTCTAATTTTGTCCATCCAGATTTCGGCACTCAGCTTTTAACTTCATGCATATCCCAGGCCTGGTGGCGGACACCTGTAATCTCATCGCTCAGGAGGCTGAGGAGGGGGATTGCCATGAATTTGAAGCCAGCCTGGGCTACATTGTGTTTTCTTTTTTCTTTTTAACAGAACTGGAGATTGAATACATTGTATTTTTAAGGCTAATTTAAGACTGTATCTCAAAAGAAAAACAACAAAAAAACTTGCCTAGAGTTTTCTTCCAGCTATAAAATTAGGGGGCCTCCCCTTAGCTCAGGTGTCCTGAGTGCCCCTGCCCCCCCCAAAAAAACTTCTGCCAGCTATAAAATTATACATTAGGCTGGAGATACAGCTCCGTGCTGAAGTACTTGCCTAGCCTTGCAAACCTAGGAGTTGATCCCCAATAGTGCATATATACAGATCTCTTCTTGATTCATGTTTTCCTGGATTTATCGGTCTCTGCCAATACTTGTGCATTATTTTTCTTGGAGCATAAGAGTTTACTCTTTAGCCAACTGGTGTGCTATCCGGTGATACTTCTTTCTTTCTTTCTTTTTTTTTCTAATGATACTTCTTGGAGAAGGTAAACCAACAACTCTTGCTCTTTGCAGGACAGTCCAGGGCTCAGAGTTACCTATTTTGGAGCAGATTTGCCAGAGGATTGCAGCTGATGCACATCCCTTCCGCAGGCTTGAAGCTTCCCGAGATCAGCTGCGCCAGCTCTTTAAGGTTGGTCTCAGTGCAGTTTTAGGAGGAAGATGGAGCGTTGAGGGTGGGGCAGCTCTCTTTGCCAGAACATTTGAATGGGAATAAAAACTTGGCTTTCCTCTTGTCACCCCCTTTTCTTCCAGGATAACCCCTTTAAGCTTCGTCTGATTGAGGAGAAGGTGACAGGCTCAACAGCAACAGTGTATGGGTGAGCTCTGTCAGAGTGAAGAAGGAGGGCGGGGCGGGGCAGCAGTGGAAAGCCTTGGAAGCCATAAGGGCAGAGAAGTGGACAGTAATCTCTGTTACTCCTAGAAAAGAAATGAATCGGTTTTTATCTAGCATCAGTTTCTCTGTCTGTGAACAGTTCCTTCCCTTTTGCTTCCTCCTCCTGTCAGCTAAAGACTGTGAAAGAGAAAATGAATCAGGCATGGTACTGCACACGCCTGTAATCTCAGTACTTGGGAGGCTGAGGCAGGAAGATGGCTGTGAGCCTGAGGCTAGTCTGAGCCACATAAACAAGCTCAATGCCATCCTGCGCTGCATAGCAAGACTTTGTCTCAAAAAAAGAAAAGAAAAGAAAATGAGGGGGCTGGGGAGATGGCTCAGTAAAATAAGAGTTTGGCTGGCAAGTGCAAGGACATGAGTTCAATCCCCGGTTCCGGAAAAAAAAAAAAAGAAAGAAAAGAAAATGAGCCCTAGGGACAGTGGTCTAGAAACTACTGACTGGCCTCTGCTCTCCCCCAGGTGTGGCACGTCAGTTGACCTTTGCCGGGGGCCCCACCTTCGGCACACTGGACAGATTGGAGTGCTGAAGCTGCTCACGGTCAGTTGGGAGGTTATCCTTAGGGTGAGGCTTCTGTTTTCACAGGAGCAAGCAGGAGGATTGGAAGGCTGGCCTCTCCCAGACCTTTCTCTGCTGGCATGATAAAGAAGGAATCCAGAAGGAGAAGATATTGGTCCCCACACTCTAGAATCTCTCGTTTTGATGACAGATACTGGATACCCTGCCAGAGCCCAGATGTCAGTTGTTTGTTTGTTGATTTGTTTTTGTGATGCTGAGGGGCAAACACAGGGCCTTGTGCATGCAAGGATATAATTTTACCACTTAGCCACATCCCTGGCCCCCAGAAGCCATTTTCAGGCTTTATTTATTTATTTATTTATTTTTGCGGAACCAGGGATTGAACTCAGGCCCTTGCGCTTGCCAAGGAAGCGCTTATTCCACTGAGCCATCTCCCTGGCCCCAGAAGCCATTTTAAATTCCCTAGTCTGATATAAATGTTAAAAGAGATATAGCCATAAGGAGAAAACAAAACAGAAAATAACAGGCAACAGTGGAGTGGGGGGCTGGAGAGATGGCTCAGTGGTCTAAAGCACCTACTTGGAACAAGGTTGGCAAAGCACAGGGACCGCGGTTCGATCCCCCAGCACCACATGCCAGCCAGCTGCGCCCCCTGGTGGGCTGAGCTGCCCCCCACCACACAATAAATAAATGTTAAAAAAAAAAAAAAAAGCTTTAAAAACAGTGGAGTGGCACACACCTGTGATCCCAGTAGGGGAAGGCTGAGGCAGAAAGATCACAAGTTGGAGCCTACCCTGTACAAGAAAAGGTTGTAATTTAGTGCAAGGGCCCTGAGTTTGGATCCTTTGTACCACCACCCACCCCCACCTGAAATGAAGGGGGAGAAACATGAAACCTGTGTGTGAGTGGTCTAGGCAGCAATATACAGGGAGGGGAGACGGGGCTGCAGAGGGAGGTGAAGAGTGCTGTTCAACAGGCACAGAGAGAAAGTTCTATGTGAAATGCACATCTTTTGTAAAAATATTGCTCTTCTTTCCCCCAGTAAATATATTCTGTTCTTGAAAAAGAAAGTACTGCTTTTAACAAAGAGAGCTGCTAGACAGGGTGGGAGCAGCGAACAAAGGAATAGGTAGATTTGTAGAACAACAAGCCATAAGCTGAAAACTTAGCTCTCTGCATTAGTCTCAGTGTGCCACCAGAGAGGTGTGTGACTTTGGCTGACCTCCTTATATATTGTCTTCATCTATAAAACAGTTCCTGTACTACCAGTAAATCCATGTCATAGACACAATGAAGTCAGAAGAAAGTGCTATAAAATGTAGGTTCTTACTGGGTGTGGTGGCACATGCCTATTATGACAGTACTTGGAAGGCTGAGGCAGCAGGATTACAAGTTTAAGAACAACTTGGGCTATAAAATAAGTTTAATACCAGCCTTAACTACATACCTTATCTCAAAGAAAAAAAAAAAAAAAAAAAAAAGATTTTTTTTTTTTTTTAGTACTATTTTTTTTTAAATTTTATTTATTTGTGTGTGTGTGTGTGTGTGTGTGTGTGTCCAGCTCAGTCCACCAGGGGGCGGGGCGGGCTGGCATGTGGTACTGGGGGATTGAACCGCAGTGGTCGCTGTACTTTGCTAAGCTTGTTCTAAGTAGGTGCTTTAGACCACTGAGCCATCTCACCAGTCCCAGTACTATTTATTGTTAAGGAAAAGAGTTTTATTTTTTTATTTTTTTCTATATTTTAGGGAAGGGTCTAAAGGGTGTTCAGGGTCTCACTCCTAGATTGGACTTGTAGTGATCCACCTGTTTAAAGCCTCCCAAAGAGCTGGAATTACAGGCTAGTGCCACGACTTCCAGTCTCAGTTGCCATCTCAATGTGCCCTGAGGGGCGGGGCCATCAAACCCCCAGCCCCTGCACCTGCTTGCAGGTGCTTTAATCCGCTGAGCTATTTGGCTGGGAAGAGTAAGTTTTAGTATGGAAGGAGGGTTGGCTTTTCTGGGAGTTGTACAGGATTTCATAAGGAGTGGATAAACAGACATCTGCCTGGAGCTTGGTACTGCTCTAAGCAGTCTTTCATGAAAAGAGGAAGGAACTAAGTACAAGGTAATGGTAAAGCAGTGAGAATGGGGAGAGACAGAGGAGGTGAGGGAAGATGAGGCTTGTCTAGAACATATACAGGAATACAGTCTGGCAAACCCAAGGCTGCAAATACATCCAGAGGAAGGATTCTCACCTTTATGGTGGTGGTGGTGGGAAGGGAAGTGACAAGTGGGAGAGGGTGAGACTAGCTTGAGTGGGTGAACCTCTGCCACTTACATCAGAAGACGCTTGAAAGAGTAAGGCACCTTCATGGTCCTTCTCTTTCCTTTGATTGCCTCTGTTTTCCCATAGAACTCCTCGTCCCTGTGGAGATCTCCAGGGAGTCAAGAGATCCTACAGAGAGTGTCAGGGATTTCCTTCCCTACAGCTGAGTTGCTGAGGGAATGGGAAGCACAGAGGGAGGAAGCATTGTCTCGGGACCACAAGCGCATCGGAAAGGTACAGGGTTTGGGAAGAGAGCGGCGGGTTAGTGATGTGGGATAGAGAGACATGGAACCTGAATGCAAGGTTATGAGCAGGTTCAGTGAACAGACTCTGCGGCTCTGTCACTTACATCTTGAAATTTCAGAGTCCCCTGCCCCACCTTAAATTAACAGTTGCCACTCTGTCCCTAGGAACAAGAGCTCTTCTTTTTCCATGAACTGAGCCCTGGGAGCTGCTTCTTCCTACCACGTGGGACCAGAGTGTATAATGCCCTGGTGGCATTTATAAGGGTAAGAGAGACCCAAATCCAGAGGAAAGGAGATGGGAAGGACTATGACCTAGAAGCCAGGATGTTTAAGAAACAAACTGTGGGGCCATCCAAATAGCTCAACAGATTAAAGCACCAGCAAGCAGGCACAGGGGATGGGGGTGTGATCGCCAGGCCTGCCATGCTGGCCCCGCCTCCAGGGTGCACTGAGCCAGCGATTGCGATTGAGCGTGGTGGAGCGCACCTATAATCCCAGCTCTTGGGAGGCTGTAAACAGGCGGATCACAACAAGTCCGATCTAGTAGTGAGATCCTGAACGTTCTGTAGGCCCTTCCCTAAAATACAAAAAAAAAAAAAAAAAAAAAACCATCAAAAACAAAAACTGAACTGTAAGGTGCTGGTGATCTGTAGTGAGGTACTGTAGTTGTGTTGTGTGGCATCAGTGAGGGAGCAGGAACAGGACACGTAATAGCTTGTGGCTGAGGTCAGCACAGCCTGAGAGCCTAGGAAAATCAGTCAGCTGCCTTCCTGCCATTTATCCTTCCAGTGACACTAAGCTAACCTTCCGTGTCTTGCCTTCTCCAGGCTGAGTATGCCCGCCGTGGTTTTTCAGAGGTGAAAACCCCCACGCTATTTTCTGTGAAACTGTGGGAACAGTCGGGGCACTGGGAGCACTACAGGGAAGACATATTTACCCTGCAGCCCAAGGGCTCTGATGGGCCCACCAGCTCCCAGAGTGACCACCCTGCCAAGCATCACACAGGGACCCTTGCCCTCAAGCCCATGAATTGCCCAGCACACTGGTGAGCTGTGAAACAGAACAAGTAGGTCCTCGTGGGGCTACAAAACAGGTTGGAAAGACTAGTACAACATCTAATTTGAATCTTGAATCTGCCCTCTTACCAACCTGGTGGGTTTGGGGAAATCATTCTTCCTCCTGGGTCGCAAGTCTCCTTCCAAGTAACATCAAGCTAAGTGTGGTAGCACATGGAGGCTGACACAGGAGGCTCACCATGAGTACCAGGCCAGCCTGAACTACATAGCGAGAAGACCCTGTCTCAAAAAAATAAAAAGTAAAATTAATTAATTAATTTATTTATTTATTTATTTATTTATTTTTGGTGGAACTGGGGATTGAACTCAGGCCCTTGCACTTGCCAGGGAAGCACTTATTCCACTGAGCCATCTCCCTAGCCAAAAAAAGTAAAATTTAAAAAAAGTAGCATCAAGGCTCAATGACAGTCACAGAACAGGGGCATAGTGAGTGGCAGTTGTTCCTGTGTGTGACTGATAAATTGGCTTTTGATCCAGGCTGGCTTAGACTGTGCTAGGGGCTTGGTGGGTAGAGAGAATGTAGCTGGAGGTACAGAGAATACACCGAGCTAGGGGAGCAGTCACAGGGGTTGGCTCACCCTATGGCCCTGACCCCTTCTCATCTCAACCTCAGCCTGATGTTCGCCCACCGGCCCAGATCCTGGCGGGAGCTGCCTCTGCGACTCGCAGACTTTGGAGCCCTGCACCGAGCTGAGGCCTCTGGCAGCCTGGGGGGACTGACGCGGCTTTGGCGCTTCCAGCAAGATGACGCTCACATCTTCTGTGCTCCAGATCAGGTGACCCTTATTGGCTCCATCAGCACATCTCGTGACCCACCTTTACTTCTCTTAACCTCCAAATCTCTGTGATCTTCAGTTGCCTCGTATGTCTAATACAGTTCCCCTCTGCCTGGAGCTGTCTTCCACTTTTCCTGTTTTTGCTCTTACTTCCCCCAAACCACTGTTATCCCAGGTCTCTAGCTGACACACACACCCTCATTTCCTGCCCCCAGCTGCAAGCAGAGATCGGGGGCTGCCTTGATTTCCTCCGCTCTGTCTATGCTGTGCTTGGCTTCTCCTTCCACCTGTCACTGTCTACAAGGCCATCTGGCTTCCTGGGAGAGCCTCACCTTTGGGACCATGCTGAGCAGGTAAGCAGGCTGGAGGGAAGCAGAGATAAACCACCCTGCAGTATGGTTGGGAGTGATAACCAGGATCCTCCCATGGAGGATGCTGGGCGTCGTTGGCGGGCATAGATGAGAGATGTTGCTCAGGCAGTCCCGAGTGACTTGTTCCCCTCTTGTTCTCTCTTGTCTCATTCCCTCCAAAGGTCCTTCAACAGACCTTAGAGGAGTCTGGAGAACCCTGGGACCTCAAACTTGGAGATGGTGCCTTCTATGGGCCTAAGGTAAGCTGAGGAGTCTGCTTATGGCATTTATTCATATTTTGGTTTTGGAGGGGTTTTTTTGAGACGAGGTCTTGAATATAGTTAGGCTGGCCTTAAACTCACTTATGTCGCCCAAGCTGGCCTCAGACTCAAAACAATCCTGCCTCAGCCTCCCAAGTGCTGGGATTACAGGTGTGTATGTGCCACCATGCCCAGTCATTTATTTGTTTCATTTAATAAGACTTATTAGAATATAGAGAAAAATGTTACATTCTCTGTTGCCGTGGAATTTGTAACCATGCAAAATCTATAGATTGTAAATAGGTCGTGTCAGCGCTACATTAATTTTTTTGTGTTTTTATTTTTTTTTTTTTATTTTTATTTTTTTTCTTTGTGGAACTGGGGATTGAACTCAGGCCCTTGCGCTTGCCAGGAAGCGCTTTTTCCACTAAGCCATCTCCCCGGCTGCTATGCTACATTAAGTATTGAGGGAGTACAAAGATTTAGATTGCTTGGGACACAGGAAGGGTGAAAGGCTTTCTACAGGAGTCACTCCCGAGCTGGGCATGGTAATTCCAGCTCTGGGGAGGTAGAGGCAGTAGGATCACCATGAGTTCAACATTAGCCTGGGCTACATAGTGAGTTCAAGGCCATCTTGGAATATACCAAGACCCTGTGTTTAAAAAACGCAATAAAAAACAAGCCCTAGGGCTAGGGGAGATAGCTCAGTAGAATAAGCGCTTGCCTGGCAAGTGCAGGGTCCTGAGTTCAATCCCTGGTACCACAAAAAGAAATTCCTATGCAATCCAAACTGTCATTATTGCCCCAAGTAAAGGGCTGTTTCAGGAAGGAAGAGTGTAAGATGAGCCTGTAGGTAGGAGTGAAAACTGACAAGGTAACTTAGATGAAGTGAGAGAAGTGGATGGTGAGGGCTGGGGAGAGAGCTCAATGGCATAAGCACTAGCCTGGCAAATGCAAGGTCCTGAGTTCAATTCCCAGTACCAAAAAAACAAACAAAAAAAAAGAAGTAGAGGATCAGTGGTGGGTAGCCAGACATGGTGACACACATCTACAGTTTCAGCACCGTGGAAAGCAGAGGCAGGAGGATCCAAGTTGAAGCCCAGCCTAGGCAGTTTAGCTACTGAGTGGGTACAGAAAGGGAAAGGACTAATGAGTGTCTGCTAGATTCAGTAAAAAGGCTGTTAGGAGTCCAGTGTAGTGACTCACACTTGTAATCTAAGCTACTCCAGAGGCTGAGGTAGGAGGATCACTTAAATACAAGAGTTTGAAGCCAGCCTAGGTAAAACAGCAATACCCTGTCTCCAAAAACAAAAAACAAAACAAAACAAAAAAAAGAGAAGGGGGTGGGGAGATGGCTCAGTGGAATAAGCGCTTCCCTGGCAAATGCAAGGGCCTGAGTTCAATCCCCAGTTCCACCAAAAAACAAAAAAAAATGAGGGACCTCTTTCCCATCTTGCAAGATGGCAGGTGAAAAAACTGAGAAGCCAGACACTAAGGAGAGGAAACCCAAATCCTAGAAGGCTGCTGCCAGTGGCACTGGTAAAAAGGGTAAGGTGAAGGCAAAAAAATCCAAGAAGGGGCAGCCCCCCTGCAGCCAAAATCCTGTCCTGGTTAGAGGAATTGGTAGATACTCTCGATCTGCTATGTATTCCAGAAAGGCTTTGTACAAGAGAAAGTACACAGCTGCTAAATCAAAGGTTGAGAAGAAAAGGGAGAAAGTTCTTGCTACAATCACAAAACCAGCCGGTGGGGACAAGAATGAGGTACATGGTGCCAGGGAGATAGCTTAGTAGAATAAGCACTTGCCTGGCAAGTACAGGGTCCTGAGTTCAATCCCCGGTACTGCAAAAAAAAAAAAAAAAAAAAGAAAAGAAAAGGAGGGGCCAAGGAGATAGCTCAGTAGAAAGGGTCTGAGTTCAATCCCTGGTTCCACCAAAAAAAAAAAAAAAAAAGAATGGATGTACCTGAATGGTTAAGCTTCAAAAAATGCCTAGATACTACCCTACTGAAGATGTTCCCCGAAAGCTCTTGAGCCACGGCAAGAAACCCTTCAGTCAGCACATGCGGAAACTTCAAGCTAGCATTATTCCTGGCACCATCTTGATCATCCTAACTGGGTGTCACAGAGGCAAGAGAGTGGTCTTCCTGAAGCAGTTGGCCAGTGGTTTGCTACTTGTGACTGGGCCTCTGAGCCTTAATCATGTTCCTCTACGAAGAACACGCCAGATATTTGTCATTGCCACCTCTACCAAAAGTGTTATCAGCAAAGTGAAAATCCCCAAACACTTCAGTGATGCTTATTTCAAGAAGCAGCAGCTGCAGAAATCCAGACACCAGGAGGGTGAGATCTTTTGTCACCAAGAAAGAGAGATACCAGATTTCAGAGCAGTGCAGGGTGGATCAGAAAGCAGTGAACTCACAAATTTTAGCAAAAATCAAAGCTGTTCCTCAGCTCTGGGGCTACCTGTGGTCCCTGTAGCTCAGTGACAGCATCTGCCCAATGTAGAAAAGGCTCTAGCCGGGCCTGATGGCACACACCAGTAACCCTAGCGCTTGGAGTCTGATGCAGGAGGAAAAGGCCTGGAAAACTAGCTCAGTATGAAGGTTCTGGGTTCAATCCCCAGCACACACACACACACACACACACACACACACACACCCCTTTGTCTTACTAAGAGGAAAAACACTCAAAAAGGCTCAACATTGCACTTAAGGATATAGAGGTAACAGTTGGTGGTAAAGTATATATTATGCAGTGGAGGATTATTGTGCCACAAAGAAAGATATGCTTGAGACATTTCTAGGTAAATAGATGATGTACCTTGAGATTTTTACTTTTTTTTTTTTTTTTTTTTTTTTTTTGTCTTTTTGAGACAGGGTCTGCTATGCAGTGCAGGCTGGCTTTGAGCTCACTTTGTAGCCAAGGCTGATCTCAAACTCCCAGTGATCCTCCTGACTCAGCCTCCTGAATGCTGGAATTATCGGTGTGCACCACTATGCCCAAGTTGAGATCATTCTCTTAAGTGAAATAAATTTGCCACACACATTTAAAATACCACATTGTGCAGGGTACAGTGGCACCTACAATCCCCACTCTCAGGAGGCAGAAGAGGAAGTTCAAGGCCAGCCTAGGATACATAGTGAGTTCAAGGAAAGTCAGAACTGCATAGTGAGACCCTGTCTCAAAAACAAATTTAAATTTAAATTTAAAAAATACCATAAGTACCACATTGTTTCTCTGGCATGAGAAACCAAAAGTGTAAATAAGGACCAAAAATGTATAATAGATACTGGAAAATGAGAAGAAAATGTTCAAATAAGAATAATGGGGGGGCTGGAGAGATGGCTCAGTGGTCTAAAGCACCTACTTGAAACAAGCTTGGCAAAGCACAGGGACCGCGGTTCGATCCCCAGCACCACATGCCAG